TATAACTAATAAAAGCACTTCTGCATCTCCCTTAAAATACTTGAATATTTCAGGCTGACTCTTGCTTGTGGTGGGATAGCCCTAAATTCTCTTGATGACCTAAATCCTGATTGTTTGGGACATGCAGGACTTGTCTATGAATATACATTGGTAAGTGTACTCTGTTCCCAAAATAATACTACTTTTTGGTTCATGAATTCTTCAGTAGTTAAAAGTTCTTCCAAACTCAGGGTAATGTTTTTGCTTTGTTTACATACATTTTGATGATTTGTGCGTAGTAACAATAAGCCCTTGATGGGAAAATCACATTTCATTTATGTGACCTTTTTTCAAAGAAATTATTAGCTTTAATGTGATCAGTGTGGTGCCTGATTAATACCCCATTTATTCCTCCATAAGCCCCTCTCCTCTGGTCATCCCTTGCACAACCATATCCTGTTTTTTAAAATACTACCTCTTCACACAGGGAGAAGAGAAGTTCACCTTTATTGAGAAATGTAACAATCCTCGCTCTGTCACATTATTGATCAAAGGACCAAATAAGCACACGCTTACTCAAATCAAAGATGCAATAAGAGATGGCTTGAGGGCTGTTAAAAATGCTATTGACGATGGTAAGATGCTCCCTGTGTTTATTCTTTCTGCTAGTCTAAAAGGCATGGCTGAATACTGTGTTCTTTTTGTCAGTAGTTTACACAGCCAGACACCATGCAAAAGTAAAGTTTTTCCTTTAAAATGGCTATGATGGTATGCTAAGTTTTTTCATAGCATGCTGTTGTTAAAAAGGGGATACAAATGAACTAAAGGCTTGCAGGATTTGCCACGTGCTCCTTAAATCATTCTGTTGTTTGAGATGTTGCTTGTATCGCTTTCAAATGCAGTATTAAACTTGCTGCGGTTACATGGAATTCTCAAATTAATGGCTTTCCTGTGTTTTAATTTTATGTATATTTTTCCTTATAATTGACTCAGCAGTTTTATGTTCTTTGTATCTTAGCATTTTCCTCTTTCCCTCACCCAACAGGCTGTGTAGTCCCAGGTGCTGGCGCAGTGGAAGTGGCAATGGCAGAAGCCCTGGTTAAATACAAGCCCAGTGTAAAGGGCAGGGCCCAGCTTGGAGTTCAAGCATTTGCTGATGCATTGCTCATTATTCCCAAGGTGTGAATGCTTTTAACAGTTTTCTAAACTACACCAAAGCGATTCATCCGATGAAAGCTTTTGCTAATGTGGGCTTTTTCATAATGTGGATTTTGAATAAATAGATTGCATCCATTTTCACCCTAACATTAGAACAGGTGTTTCTCAATATCTAATGTGTTGGTTCCTCTGGACAGGAGGCTTGACTATCTGAAGTTGTAGTGTAGGACTTATCCTTGAGTACAAGCTTGCTTTTTGTTTTTATTTGTTTTACACTAAGATTAATATGGGCTCCCCTCGTGGCTCATGGTAAAGAATGCCTGCAATGCAGAAGACCTGAGTTCAATCCCTGGGTTGGGAAGATTCCCTGGAGGAGGGCATGGCAACCCACTCCAGTATTCTTGCCTGGACAGTCCCCATTGACAGAGGAGCCCGTCAGGCTACAGTCTGTGGGGTCGCAGAGAGTTGGAGAAAGATTAGTATGTTGGTTTTCTATTGTGTGCTCATTTGAAAGTACAGTTTTTGGCTAGTGTATTGCTGAGATTGAGGTGGATTAGTGAATGGGTTAGTGATGTATATTAGTCATTGTGTAAAGTGAACATTAATATCAGACTGCACTCATTAAAGTTTTTTAAAAACTGTTAGTTAGAAATACTATTTATTTTAGACTTGACTATCAGTTAGTAGGTCCTATCTTTAAATAGTTGTATTTGTTTCCTTTAGGTTCTTGCTCAGAACTCTGGTTTTGACCTTCAGGAAACACTAGTTAAAGTTCAAGCAGAACATTCAGAATCCGGTCAGCTTGTGGGTGTGGACTTGAACACTGGTAAGGAGGATGCAACCATTTGAAGGGGGAGATCTAGATGCTATAAGTAGAGTACAGATTTGGTGATGTTGCTGAGTTGTGGTAGGTGGTTCAGGTGTATGTTGAAGGGTTTCATATTGAGCTTGCTTTACTCACCTTTTTATCAGGGACTTTGATTAAAGTGATACATTTGATGATCATATCTATGGGTGAAAACAGGCTAAGGATAGCAAAAGCTGGAAGAGGGAACCAAACCTAATGAAATGATTAAGGCCCTGATCTTAGGCCAGTGTAATACAGATCATACAAGTAGAAAGTGGAAGATGTGCACACATCTGTGCAGTATATGGAAGACCTGTTGTGGACATACAGCGTTTCCATTCAAGTTAATGTAAAGGTTTCTTTTTTAAATCTCTATTGGCGTGTAGTTGGTTTACAGTGTTGTGTTTATGCTGTGCAGCAAAGTGAATCAGTGGGTATATATATCCACTCTGAGAGTTTATTCCCATATAGATCATTACAGAGTATTGAGTAGAGTTCCTGTGCTATACGGTAGGTTCTTATTGTCTATTTTATATATAATGATGTGTATATGTCATTCCCAGATTCCTAGTTAATAAAGGTTTCTCTGGAATGAGGGAAATGATAAGCCTATCTTGCCAGATTATAGCTCAAGTGCTGTACTTTAATATGTACAAATAAGAATGTCTCCAGAAAAAGATACATGTGCAAATGTTTGGCAACCAACTAGAGCATTCCTGTCACTGAAAGTATTCTAAGTAGAGATCAGCCACTCATCAAAGCTGCTGTGCATAGGAGTCGTGGTCTGTAACACAGCATTGGGCTAATTGAGGAACTTCAGGTTCTCGTAGTTAATAATAGAGGAAATGAGCAACCACTGATGAGCAAAAGCAGCACAGAATACTCCTATTAGTTCCTTTAGACAGCGTTCTGATCTTACGAACCTGCTCTGTGTGGTTTTAAGAAGACGATTACTTTTCAGGTGAACCAATGGTAGCAGCAGAAGCAGGCATATGGGATAACTATTGTGTAAAGAAACAGCTTCTTCACTCCTGGTAAGTTTGGGAAAGCCAGAACTGTAAAATAACATTTAGGGAATCTTCATACTCTTTAAAATTGGTACACTTTAATTTTCTTTCCATAAGAAAATGTAATCAGGTGAAAGTATAGCAACTGAAGCTATCCTTCTGTGTATGGAGGGGTAAGGGGGAAATTTGACATAATTTGCACAAGTTACTTGGAGATTGAGTTGAATTAGAGTTCATACCTCATACCTGAGCTGTCTTGATTTTTTTCCCCCCCTTTTCAGCACTGTGATTGCCACCAACATTCTCCTGGTTGATGAGATCATGAGAGCTGGAATGTCTTCTCTAAAAGGTTGAATTGAAGCTTCCCTTGTATCTGAATCCTGAAGACTACAGAGTGATCCTAATAATACAGCTATGGAATTTTGGTCCAAGCTTCAAATGATCTTCAAAGGATTTTCTTTTCCCATATTAAAAAAGGAGAGAACACTGGCACCTATTCAGATTCTGAAGTTCTGAAATTATAATTACAGTATTTTTTAAATTGCACTGCAGTGTCCACATACAGCAGGTCATACTTACCCAGTAAACAGGACATTTTGCTTTACCCTGAGTGATATAAAAATATTAGATAAGCATATGTTATCTACCTTGTTATTAAATATTCATTGAAAAACAAATTTTAATAGTTTAATAATTTCTTCTAATGGATGTATTTTAATTTATTTCCAGTAGTTCCCTGTCATTAAGCATAAGACTTAAATAACCTAAAGTTTTGAAGCATTCCTGCTTCCCAAGCATACTTTGGACTTTTCATGCTTTTAAAGTAGCTTTGCTAAAATGCTTCCCAGAAGTGTTAAGTTATCGTGAGTAGAAAGATGGAACCAGAGGCAAGAGGGGTTCAAAGAGCTGAAAGTATAAAGTGGCAAAATAGAAAAGGCAGAGGTTAAAAACACGACTGAATATATGGTGACTAAGGACTAGAGATTTTCCGGCAAGATTGTTATTTTCACAGCTCAGAACCTTTGCTTATACTGATACCCTTCCTAAATCCTCCAGTGTCCTGTTTTTCTTAAATTACTGTTCTCTTCTAAATGTTTGCACAAAATACAGTAGGTATATCTGAAGCCCTTGAAAGTGAAGTTGTGTTGCTGAACTTTGTGTTTTGAGGAGTTGGCAGTTGCCTACAGTGAGTGTGTAATAAATATGAAGTTAAAACCTTTCTGTGCTCTCAAGATGGTATTCCAGGGTACAAAAGGAATCTGCATATAAAAGGGAAGGAAATCAATCCATCCAGTGGTTCACAAGTTAATAAAGGGGATTCTGAACTGGCAGGGCCTCTAGACTTTGTTCAGTCTCCCAGTCGTGTCTGACCCGCTCTTTGCGAGCCCATGGACTGCAGCATGCCAGGCCTCCCGGCCCCTCACCATCTCCCAGTTTGCCCAAGTTCACATCCATTGCATTAGTGATGCCATCCAGCCATCTCATCCCCTGACGCCCTCTTCCCTCAACCATTCCCAGCATCAGGGACTTTTCCAGTAAGGCAGCTGTTCACACCAGAAGACCAAAATACTGGAGCTTCCTCTTCTAGACCTTAATCCTGAGAAAATAGCTTTTTGTTAATTAACCGGTTCTAGAACACAGCGTCGGAGAAGGCAATGGCACCCCACTCCAGTACTCTTGCCTGGAAAATCCCTGGAGGAGTCTGGTAGGCTGCAGTCCATGGGGTCGCCGAGTCGGACATGACTGAGCGACTTCACTTTCACTTTTCACTTTTATGCATTGGAGAAGGAAGTGGCAACCCACTCCAGTGTTCTTGCCTGGAGAATCCCAGGGATGGGGTCGCACAGAGTCGGAGACGACTGAAGTGACTTAGAACACAACGTGGAAATTTGGGACTCTAGTCCCTGCTTAACTCCGGATTTCCAGCTGGGTGGGCTCCCGTGACCAGTGCGCACGCGCGCGCAGGGCACGGCCGCCGACGTGAGGCGTGCGGGGCGCGTGCGCAACAGAGCCGCAGGGTGGTGCTACTGCAGCGGTGCTCACGGGGCTCGTGTTCCCGGCATGGGAACTTCGCTGTCGCCGCTGCTGACTGTTCTGTCGCTCCTCTCCGGCCGGTGGCTCGAACTAGGTCAGTGTGCTGGCCTGCCCGACTGTCCCAGGAGGCAGGAGGAAAGGGGTGGGGCGCTCGGCCACCGCGGCTGTCAGCGCGCGGAGGCACCTCCCAGAGGCGGCCAACTGGGCGAGGGGGTTAACAGCTTATATCGTTGTATTTCACTTTTTATTTTAACTTTTAATTTATTATTCTGGAATCTTTTGAGCATAAAAAAGTTAATAAAACGAGCCTCTCCCGCCTGTCCCCCCACCCCCCACGTACCTGTTTCCCAGTTTAAACAGTTGCCAGTTATAATCTTGCTTGTTTGGAACCCCTTCCATTTTTCCATTACTCTGGGAGGTTTAGTTTGGAGTGAATTGAGGCACGATATAGTTTTATTCGTAATTATTTAGTTTGAATAGCCAAAAAGACACGAAATCACACACACACACAGAGTGTCACTAACTCTCCCACCTAAAAAATTAACAATACTCCTTAATGTCATTGAACATCCAGTTAGTGTTCAAATTCATCTGCTGTGTTCTTAAATTATAGTTTACTTGTTGAATTAATGTCAAAATAAAATTCAAATATTGCTATTGTGTGTTGTTTCTTAATTCTCTTTTAGTCTGAGAATTTCCTGCTTGCTCTATTCCACCCTCCAGCCTCCCTTAAAGATGATGAAATCATTGGTGTGTGTCAGTGAGATCCAGAAAAGGGCCAAAGATAAGATTCTGGGGAACGTGAAAACATGTGGACTCTGCCTTTAGGAAACTTATAGTACTTAGACATCTTTAGGTAAAAACACAACAAAGTAGTACATCAAGCCAGAAAAGTGTGGCCTTTAGGGCCTTAGTTTGTTCCCGTCAAATGAGGGAGTTGAAATAAAGATCCTTTTAATTCTATGATTTTTTTGAGGCATTCAAACAGCAAGTATGAGAGAGTTCATTCGATTATTTGATGATAATTTTTGTGCACTTGTGCTAGGTGCCAGGTATAGCCTGGAAAAATAGATGTAGTTCTTTTCTTTCTTATATGATATAATGGAGAAGAGGCAAAGAAACAACATGAGCAGAAGAATGAGTGGCAAGTTGATAGATGTATTTAAAGGCTATGTTGTTGTTTAGTTGCGAAATCTTGTCCGACTCTTGCAACTCCAGGGACTGTAGCCTACCAGGCTTCTCTGTCCATGGGATTTCCCAGGCAAGTATTCTTCAGTGGGTTGCCATTTCCTTCTCCAGGGGATCTTCCCAACCCAAGGATCAAACCTGTGTCTCCTGCATTGGCAGGCAGATTCTTACAATGTTTAGATTTATCCTACTGGGACAAAGGGTTGTCATGTAGAGGGACAGAGAGGTAAAGAAAATCATTTGTTGAAAACCTGCCATGTGCTAAACATCTCACACATTTAATATAGCCATGCATTTGAGTTAGTTAGATATTACCCCCATTTTATAGATGAAGAGACTGAAATCCAGAAGAAGTAATTTGCCCACAGTCATTCAGCAAATTAAGTGACAGAATAAGAATTTAAAGCCAAATTTTTCAGCCTCCAGATTTTTTCACTATAGCATTGAGCCTTACATATGATCCAAATATTACCACTTATTTTATATATATTCATGTAATTAATGACCACTTTCTTTTTCCTCTGCAGGAAATGGACAGACAACCAACATGGTCCAGCTGCCAGGCGGGAGATTCCAGATGGGAACCAACTCACCAGACGGCAGAGATGGTGAAGGACCTGTCCGGGAGGTGACGGTAAAACCCTTTGCCATCGACATATTTCCTGTCACCAACAAAGACTTCAGGTACTCCCAGTGTTCTTCCAGGAGAAGTAACTCCTGGAAGAGTTATTCTAATATTTCACAATATTTAAAAGGAGATTAGCTTGTTCACAATCAGAATATCATCTTTGCAAGTGTTATCTGCATTTTTCAGATGAGGACTCTGAAGTCCAAAGAGGTTTACTTCATTTTTCATTAGTGGCCAACTGGGCCTGTAACTCAGATCCCCTGACTCTTGAGCCAGTGGATTTTTCCATGTACTAGGCATACCACTGAGAAATATGGGCAGAAGTCAGACACTCTTCATCAGGGGAGGAGGAGTCGGGAGAAGGGTCATAATAGTTGAGAGTTCCTTAAATTCCCTTTATATTGGGTTGGCCAAAAAGTGCATTTGGTTTTAAGTTAAAATGACGTATTTTTCAGTTTCAACAAGGATGTTATTGAACTAACTGAACAGACTTCTTGGCCAACCCAGTATTACTTAGGGAAATGGAATTATTTCCAGAATCAAACATTTTGATTCCAGCTTAATCTAAGAAGCCATGTTGAATGCCTCAATGTCCCCACAGTGATACATTATGAGTAGGTTAAAGTAGAAAATGATTCAGCATATGTCAGTAATTTACCTTCAAACAGTGGAGGGAGGAGTATATAGAAAGGAGGCGGAAAGGAAGAGGGGAGGATGGGAAGACAAATAAAGCAAATGTGAAAAATGACATAAATTTTACATTTGTGGATTTAAAACTTTTTAAGATCAAAACTTGCTGGTGAAAATTGATTCAGGAGACTCAGGCTAAAATAAGCGTAAAGATTGTCAGTAAACTCCTCAGGCCTTTTGACTCATTGGTTCCAGTCTAGGGATTTGTCTTGAAGAATTAAGGTTGTCAAAAAAAGTTTAGCTAAAAAGGTGACTTTGCAAATAAATGTTAACAATTTAAGGATCACTTAAATATATTGTATCAATATAACAGAATACTTAGCAGCCTTAAAAAAACCTGCTGTCAAAAAGAGATAGTTAAAAAGTGTTGTGAAGAAAGATTACAAAATACTACATAGGATATGGCCCAGTTTTTTTTTTTTTTTTTTTTTTTTCTGAAAATCCAGTTTATTTTCCATGTGGACAGATCCAGTCAGTGTGATCAGTTTTCTGCATGTGTAATAATTTATCAAAATAAGTTTTCCCACAAGACTCTTTCCCATCAACTCTGAAAATCCTGGTCTTACAACATACCCAAATAAAGCTCTTGAAAATCACCTCTTTAAATTTGGAAGAAAGTGTGGCAAGTCTTTCCTGTTATATTTACTGAACTACACATGGCTAAAGAGCAATTTATTAAACTATGTGTATAGAATGTATATGCATTAAAAAGAACTGGAAGATGCAGTATTGCATGAGGTGATGGATTGCTCATGTTTTTGCGATTTCCAAATGAAAATAATGACAGGAAGAACCTTATGAAAGCAATTTAAGAACCCTTGACTGGGGACATCCCTGGCAGTCTAGTGATTAAGACTCTGTGTTCTCAAAGCAGGGCACTGGTTCAGTTCTTGGTCAGGGAACTGAGATTCTGCATGCTGCACAGTGTAGCCAAAATAAATAAATAAAATAGAGATGTCATCTTTAAAAAAAAATACTTGGTTGTGGAGTGAAGAGGGAGCGAATATAGACAGTTGTATCTTGGTGTGATAATGGATGATTTTAGCTTTTTCCTTTTTACTTACCTATGTTTTCTCATGTTTCTATAATATAATGTTATACATGCTTTAAAAAACATTTTTAAAAGGAAAGTTATTAAAATCAAAGGAGAAATCACCTCTGATCAGGCTCACACCACATCATGACAACCATAAATTGCTAGCTAGATAGATGCATTCTTTTATGTTTCAAATGATGACCTTTTAGATGAAGGAAGTATAATGTCACCTCCAGCAAGCCCCTAAACTTTGCTTAGAACCTATAATCTGTGTTTACCTCTCTGGTAAGAGTCTCAAACCATTCAGATGGTCAGAGGTCAGTAAGTAGCTGTTGCTACCAAACCTCACCTCCTCCTGCATTCTCAATACCCCTTTGATGGGTGAACAGTTTCTTCTCACATCAGAGGGCTGACACCAACCGGGTACTCTCAGTCCAGAGAAAACAATCTGTCTTATCCTGGAAATCTGCATGTTGAAATTGGCTCAGCCATACCAAACTATATGAAAATCCATTCTAAAATCTCAGCAAGTCATTTAAAAAAAAAATTCATTTGTTTATTTGGTGACATTGGGTCTTAGTTGCAGCACTTGGACTCTCTAGTTGTGGCTTTCAGGTTCAGCAGCTCCTCGGCATGTGGGATCTTAGTTTCCCTACCAGGGATCCAACCCGCATCCCCTGCATTGCAAGGCAGATTCCCGCTGGACCACAGGGAAGTCCGTCAGCAAGTCATTTCAATTTGATTCAATTTCTCTCATCTGTCTGAGGGAGATAGTAAAACCTATTCTCCCTTCCTCCCATGCCTCCCATGATCGATGTGAGATTAGGTATGTGATGAAGAGAGACCAACTCCCTGCCCTTGAATCTTCTCAGCAGCTTTATTCACTATCTCCAAAAACTGGAGATAACCCAGATGACCTGCAGCTGGTGAATGGATAAACGAAATCTGGTCTATCCATCCAGTGAAATATTACTCAGCAATAAAAAAGAACAAAAACTGCTCCCCCCCCCAAAAAAGGAACAAACTACTGACACTGTCAACAACACAGATGATTCTTGGAAGCAGTATGCTAAGTGAAAGAAGCCAGACCCCAAAACTGCATACTGCATGATTCAGTTTATGTGAATTGATATTCTAGGAAAGGCAGAACTATAGAGACAAAAAACAGAGCAGTGATTGAGGAGGCATCGGGGAATTTGGGGGGGCAGTTAATGGAACTGCTCTGTATCTTGATTGTGACAATGACCATATGCTTTATCAAAACTCACAAAACTATACCCCAGAAAGTGTGAATTCTCCTGTTTGTGAACTGCACACACAGAAAGAAATTTTAAAAGAAAATCTGCTCAGGTTCTCAGGTTAATTCCTTGTAGTTCCTGAAGACTCTATGATGTGTGACTAATAGGATAAGGGTGTATGAGGTTTGCTGGAGCAAGAGAGGGTGAGGGTGGAGCACAGAAGCCTGTCAGCTAAACTCTACGAAATCTCTCTTTTTAGGGAATTTGTCAGGGAGAAAAAGTACCGCACAGAGGCTGAGGTGTTTGGGTGGAGCTTTGTCTTTGAGGACCTTGTTTCTGATGAGCTTAGAAACAAAGCAACCCAGAAAATGCAGGTAAGAGAACCCAGGGTTGCAGCTGGGCTCATGGGAGTGGGACCTGGACCAAGAACCCTATGGGTTCTAGAGGGTCACCTGGGCCATAGTAGAGACTCAAACCTGAGAACCAGAGGCAGGGAAGAAGCCAAAGAGACCCACCCTGGAAGAGCCAGATGAGCACACACTCCCGGGATGTTCACTTTGTGCTGAGGTCCGCATAGAGAGACCCTGTAAAGATGCAGATAATACACAGGGTTCAGGGTACTCCCTGGACCAGCCAGAGAACCCCTGGAGAAGCCTCCTTCTAATAAGGGTGGTGAGGTGTCAAACTTTAAAGATTCTGAACACAGGGGCTTCCCTGGTGGCTCAGTGGTAAAGAATCTGCCTGCCAACGCAGGAGATGGGGGTTTGATCCCTGATCCAGGAGGATCCCACATGCCAAGGAGTGACTAAGGCCATGTGCTACAACTACTGAGCCTGTGCTCTAGAGCCTAGGAGCCGCAACTACCAAAGCCCATGAGCCTCGATAAGAGAACCCATCGCAACGAGAAGCCCGTGTACCGCAACTAGAGAGTAGCCCTGCTCACCCTAGCTAGAGGAAAGCCAGCGCAGCAGCAAACACCCCGCACAGCCATAAATAATAAATAAGTAAAAGATCCCAGACACAACCTCACTTGGACCACCGGAGTCTCAGCCTGAAGTCTCTGCCTCCTGGGTGTCCGTCAGGAAGGGGCCTCGCTGGGCCAGAGCACCTTGTAATTGCACTCCTTCCTTTTTGCAGTCTCTCCTCTGGTGGCTCCCCGTGGAAAGGGCATTCTGGAGGCAGGTAAGGGTTGGTTCCTCTGTCTTGTTTCCTGCTGCTGCTGACTCTCGTTGTGGAAGCCTGGCTTCCCATGATCCCTTGCCCATCTGGGAATACTGAGTTTAAAAGGATGACGGAGAAATTTCAGGGAAGCAGCCAAGTTGGCCTGTGCGCTCTGCCCCAGTCCTTTTACCCTGGCCTGTCCCCTTTGTCCACTTTCTCCCTTTCGTCTCCCGTAGTCCTTCTGTCTGTCTCTGGACCTTTCCTCACTCACCAGGCTCTCTCTTCCTACCTCCTTGCTCCATCTAGTGGTAAAAGCTGAACACAGGCACCCTAAGCGTAGCCTTCCTCAGACTTCCACGAGCTCCCAGAAGCTTGTCTCACTTCATCCTGGCTATCAGCCTGCAGGTCCTGGCTCTGGCATCCGAGAGAAACTGGAGTTCCCAGTGGTACACGTGAGCTGGAATGATGCCCGTGCCTACTGTGCTTGGCGGGGGAAACGGCTGCCCACTGAGGAAGAGTGGGAGTTTGCTGCCCGAGGGGGCTTGAAGGGTATAGAGACGCCAGGGCGATCTCCCTTGATTCTTTCTCTCCATCCTGCCTTGCATGGGGGTGGGGGGTGGGCTTCAAAGGGTGGGACGGGCTCATACTCCCTGGAGTAGTGCTTCTTACACTCTGTGGTCATGGATCAGTTGTTACTGTTACTTCTAATCTGTCTCAAACCAGTACTTCCATAAAATACCATAAAAATAACTAGAAAATAGAATGAAAATTTAATCAGTGGAGATTCCATAGACATGTGCCACTTCAGATAAATATAATCAGAACCACATGGCATGAGGAAAAGTGTTACCTACACTGGATACCTTTTCCATAGCTGTGGAGGGATTAATGTGACAAACAGCTGTTTGTTCATAACTCAGTTATTTTTCAGTCCTAACTAAACAAAAAGTTAGAGTGAAATAGCAATTCCCCATATTCACTGCCTCTACACAGTCTTTGAATGAACACCAGCTATACCCATAGTCAGTATTGTTAATGTGATAAATGAGATTGCTTGTTCATTGATCCAGTCTAAGTCCAATGAATAAGTCTCTCCATGCTTACCCTCAGTTTCTATACTTACCCCAGCATGAGTGGGTAACACATAGTTTACAGAATGGCACTGGTCCATAAACCACACCTAGGATTGTGCTGTCCAGGAACAGATCAGAAGTCAGGGGCTCTGAGTGCAGTTCTGTGAGGGCAAGGGAAGGGCATGAGATGTCAAAGTGAGTCATCTTACTCTTCTTTCTCATCACCTCCTCTCTTCCTTTCGGTCCCCTCGCTCCTTCTGTCTTTCCCTTCTTCCCCAACCCTTCACCTCTCCCCTCCGCTGTCTCCTTGCCCACCTGGCAGGTCAGGTGTACCCCTGGGGAAACAAGTTCCAGCCAAACCGCACCAACCTGTGGCAGGTAAGACAAGTTCCTCGCCCTGTTCTTTTCTCAGGGTGGTAAAGGGGTAAGGCGAAAGACAGTGTAGTGGGGCTGCATAGTAAAGATGAGCAGTGTGTGCTCGGGAGCGCATCCCTGCCTGGAGGTGGGGGAGTGACTGGATGGTGAACGTGCCATTTGAGCTGGTGGACCTGGAGCTTGCCGGGAGAAAAGTGGAGGAAGCAATATGCATGTCAGCAGTGGGGAAGGGTACAGCATGTTCAGAGACGTGACAGACTCCGAAGGCTGGTGCCCAGAGCCACTGCACTCCAATCGAATGAATAAGTTGAACAAATGACGTCAGCAAACACTGGTTACTTGTTCCAGAATCTTGGTGGTAAAGAGCAGGAGGTGAGGAAGGCAGGGTCAGGGCAGGTGAGGGAGAGTGATGCCTGTTGGTGGTGGAAGGGCAGGCGAAGGTACAGGGGAACACTGGTTCCTGTAGGGAGAGGCGGGGTACAGAGCGGGCAGGTGGGGCCTTTCCTCCGAAGGCACATGGGGCTCATGCGGCTGAGGGAAGTCGCTGAGAGTGGAGAAGTTGTGGGTGGGCTGGGCGGGTGTGGACACACGGGGAACCACACAATTCCTAATCCAGTCAGGAGGTCATGGTGGAGGACACAAGGCAGCTGGCTTGGGACCTCAGGTCACTGCCCCATGCCCTTCCCCTGCCCCAGAGGGTGCCTCAAGATGGCCTTGGTTAAAACCCCTCTGGGCAAGTGGACGGTAAATCCTGAAGCCTAAACATCCCCTCCAACCCACCCCAGGGAAAGTTCCCCAAGGGCGACAAGGCTGAGGATGGCTTCCATGGTGTCTCCCCTGTGAATGCTTTCCCCCCACAGAACGACTACGGTAAGACTGCACAGCGGGTTGCTGTCAGCGTTCACGGGTTGGTTGGTGGAATGGTTCTGCCTGGTGGTTGAGGCAGGAGAAGTAGTGCTGGGAAACATTTGGTCCCCCAGGCCGTTGTTGGTCAGGGCGGGTGGGGGTGGCATACCCAGCCAGGGCCTGACCTGCCACTGTGCCGCAGGGCTCTATGACCTCGTGGGCAACGTATGGGAATGGACAGCGTCACAGTACCAGGCTGCCGACCAGGACATGCGTGTCCTCCGGGGGGCGTCCTGGATCGACACAGCCGACGGCTCTGCCAACCACCGGGCGCGTGTCACCACCAGGTGCGGGGCTGGGTCCTGGTCTTCTGGAGCACAGGTAGCACCGGAGCTGGTGTGGGCACTGCTTCCACACCTCTCTCTCCACTGGGGGTGTGTGGCTCCAGAAGAGAAAGCAAGCCAAACTCACCAGGTAAAGCCAGGAGCCCGGTGCCTTTTCCTGCCAGCTCTCAGCACCGAGGGAGACTGTGTCTGACGTCTTAATATGTGGGTTTTTCTCCTCCTCATAGCTAGGCGTGCACAGGGAGGGGACTGGAATGGCCACATCAATAGGTCATGGCCAGGGATCATTGAAATATTAACTTTTTTAACAAGAGGGCACGTAAAAAGACATTTTCTGCAACCATTTTGTTTTACAATCAAGGAAAAATAGACTCAGGGAGGTCCTGGGACCTGCTCGTTTCATACAGATGATTAGTGACAGTGCTGGCCCCTGAACGGTAGAGTTCCCAGCTCCCAAATTGCCTTCTAGGACTTTCTGCTTTGTCTGTAGATTTGTTTTGATTAATCTCCCTGCAGCTCCTCCTGCACCTGGGTTCCGTAAGGATGGTAGAGGGGCGCTGTGGATTAGCCTCACCTTTTTCTGTTTTGTAATGTTTATTTACTTATGTGTTTGCCTGCATTGCATCAGGCAGGATCTTCCATTGTGACTCACAGACTCTCTAGTTGTGGCACTCAGGCTCAGCTGCAGTGCACCTGCTTACTTGCCCCAAGGAATGTGGGATCTTCATTCCCCGACCAGGGATTGAACCCCACTCCCTGCATTGCAAGGCGGATTTTTAACTACTGGGCTACCAGGAAGTCTTTCCCCTTTTACCTTAGGACAAAGTAGTAGAGAAAGGATTCGTCTGGGGACCAGGAAATTGGGTTTGCTGCTGATTCCACTGAAGCAGTGGTTGCCCTTGGGCAAGACATTTAAATCTTCCTGGTATCTGATTCTGGGGTCTGTGAGATGGTGAACAAAACCTACCCTCCAGAGCAGTAAGAGAAATAGCAAATGCAGTAATCCATGTGACAGTTCTTTGAAAAGTGTGAGTACTGATTGATGCTATGATGTTCTCACTTGTTGCTGACAGGTTCATTTTGACTGAGTTATTAGTCTAAACTACCAACAGTTGGAAGTTATTAGGCATGGCCTTTCCTGGCTTTTATGCAGTCTCAGGACCACCCTCTCTTCCTCCACCCTGTCCCAAGGTCCCTTCTTAGCTCTCCCACTCCCCAGGAATGGCACGCCCTCTGGACCTGCCCTCATACCACTTTTCTTTCCAAACCAGGCCCTCCCCAGTCCCCAGCCCCCAGCCCCCAAATCTCCCAGATGACAGCAGGCCCTGGGAGCTGGAGCAGGAGAGCTGAGTGAGGCCCAGGCCCCTTTCTCAGCAAATGTCCGTTCTCTCTCCGCTTCTCTGGTGGCAGGATGGGCAACACTCCAGATTCAGCCTCAGACAACCTAGGCTTCCGCTGTGCTTCCAGTGCAGGCCGACCACCCGGGGAGCTGTGAGTGGCCATGCAGAAACCAGAAGAGTCCTGTGGCACCCAGGCCACTCCCCAGCCACATTCCAAACACAGCCAGACTCCAGATGACCTCCATCCCCTTCCCCATCCTCTGTGACAGGCACCTCTCCCCAGGGCAGGAAAGGACCCTGACCTCAGGGGTGACACTGTGTCTTCAGAAGGGGCCCAAGTTATTGATTGTGGCCAGGAGCTGGATGTTTCTCTTAGAGGTCTGATATTGACCACATAGGAGGGCACATACTCAAACAGTTGGCGGCTCAGAAAGGCAGTTTGTGAAAAAATTTTCCATCTGTTCCTTCCCCCTTTCATGATGTCTGACCCAGGGATCTGACATTATTCAAGGCAGAATCTCCCCCAACCCAGAAATCAAACCAGGGTCTCATGTACTGCAGGCGGATTCTTTACCAACTGAGCTCTCAAGGAATCCAGAATCTCCCCGGGCCTCCTTATTCTCCCAGCAAGTTGCCATAGAAAGAAAATGATACCTTTATTTGCCTTATTTGTGGGGTTTCACACATCTCCAAGGGAACCTGGTTTCCAGCACATGAAATGCAGTTCCGTGGGCTCTTTAAAGCTCAATGTCAGTGTTAAAAGGGTCTAGGAGAACCATGGATTTACCAGATGAGACTGTGCACCATGGGAGTCACAGAATGAATGATACTCAGAAGAAACAGCAGATGGGTCCCTTTCTACTGTTAATTATTCAAGGGCTCCCATATGCCTCTATAAACGTCCCCAGAGAAGAACTGGCTCCCATGGTGTCACTGGATATTGTGGGGTCAGTAAAAATCGTCTGTGATTGTGATTCTCAGACTGGTCTCTTTCATCCTCACCCTGGGACCCTCCGGGCAGTGCACTGAGTGTCAGTAACTCTGGGGCTCCCAGAGGAGAAGCGGAGATGGTAGTACACCTGGACAGTGGAGCTGCGAGAGGCTCCAGGTTCTAGACCGCAGCTGGTCCCCCAGTCTGGGGGCCTGACTCCGACTGCACTGACCACCAAGTAATGCCCCTGAGAGGGGAGAGTGGCCCCGGTTCCTGGCGTCCTGGCCAGGGCCAAGTGCACCCTCTGGACAGGGCCCTGCACACGCTCTCCCCCTTTCGGTGGCTTCTGCACCCTGCCTGACATCCGCCCCACCTACGCCGCCGGCCCTCCCCTCAGAAGTCCTCCTCAGCCAAGGAGAGGAGCACGGCCTTGGGCGTGTTCTCGAAGAGGGCCGCCCGGTTCTGCTGCTGCCCTTTCTTCACCCAGTGACCGTAGATCCGGAAAGCATAGGCATCAATGAGTCGCCGCAGAGGCCGGAGGGCGTAGGGGTCTCGAATGACGATCTCCCGGGTCACGGGCTTCACCCGGCGGTACTGGTAGTAGATGCGCACGGAAGCCAGCACCGTCAGGCAGATCACCTGCGGGAGGCGGGGCCTGAGCACGGGGCCACACCCCCTGGGCCTGTCTCCTCCCGTGTCCAGCGCAGGCCAACCCGAGCTTGTATGCCTCCAAGCCTCGTGTGGCGTCGGCTGGGCGCGTCCTAGCGTCACCGACCCCCGACCCCCATTACCCCCGTTTCCGCCCTACCCGCAATTGCAGGCTTGTAGGCTGTCAGCGCCAGAAGCCAGAAGAAATTGAGCTGGAACCATCACAGGGCTGGGTGGGAGGGGGAAGGGCGGGTGCTCTGGAAACGCCGTGGTCATAAGGAGTCCTTATGAAGGGCACTGGGGGCTTGGGTTTCAGGGGCCCCGGCGCCCGCCCCGGGGACCCTGAGTGGGAGGTGAGCCCGCAGTACCTTGAACTTGCCCCGGGGGCTGAAGTGACGCACTTCCTCCACCACGTACTGCTGGAAGAAGGGGTGCGCCAAGGCCTCTTCTGCCGAGCAGCGGCTCTGGGGGCTCACCACCAAGAAGCGGGAAACCTGAGAGAAACAAGGCGGAACGGAGGATGTGTCAGGCCGGGATCTCTCCCCCAGCAGGCGCCTCCATCTCTCTCACCGCTCCCCTCCCCCCCACCCCGACTCCGACCCCCACACTGAGAACACTGGACTTGCCCCTCGCCTGCGCCCGGGAGCCAGCACACCCGGCCTCTCACCAAGTCCTTCACGGTGTCCGAGTAATCGTCCCATTCCGGTGAGCCAAACTGGTAGTTGCCACTCATGATCATTCTCAACATCAGCATCTGCTTGCGGTGCCAGAAGGGCGGGGAGCCGGCCAGCAGCGTGTACATGATGACCCCCGTGCTCCACCTGGCACCGGGAGAGCGGCGGAGGGAGGCAGGTGGGCGGGCTGTAGCGCCCACCTCCATCACCCCCTCCCCTGCCAGGTGCTATCGGTCAGAGGGGCACCCCTGTCCCTACAGGTCACCTCCCTCCCCCCAACACACTCACATGTCCACCTCCTTCCCATAGCCGGGGTGGTCATCGTTCATGGAGCACTCGATGATCTCAGGGGCCAGGTAACTAGGGGTCCCACAGACCTCTGCAGGGACAGTTTCCATCGGGGCAGGTCAGCAGAGGCACATGGAAGAGAAAGGCCCACAGAGACAGTGGACATGGAACTGAAGTGGTATGGCCGGACTGGGACTCTGAACACAGCCCCAGGCTCAGAGCCAAGGGCAGGCCAGGGTGCTGGCTCCTATGGCCGCCCACTTGGGGCCTGTCAGTGGCTTGGTTATAGGAGCCAGCACTGGCCTGGAACACAGGCAGTGGGAACCTGGCTCAGCCCAGTCCCGGGAAGAAACACCCAGCCTTGAAATGGTAGAATTTTTTATTCTGGGTGGGGGGGGAAAAACCCGGGCAGTCCCCATTCCCGGGAGAGCTGATGAGAGAGCCTGAGCCCCTGACATGGGCCAGGGCCACGTTACCGGACCTCGAAGCTTCTCTCCTGGCTCCAGCTGGCAGGAAAAGCCAAAGTCTGTAAGCTTGATGTTCATGTTATCATCCAGGAGGATGTTCTCGGGCTTCAGATCCCGATGCACGATGTTGAGTCTGTGCAAGGTGGCGATCACCTCCAGCAGGGCTCTCATGATCTTCCTGGGGTAGCACAGGCACACGTTACCCTCATCTGCTACTCTGCAGGGTCAGGTAACAGGCGGGGAGACCGAAGCCCATAGGCTAGCCCGACTGCAAGTGACAGAGGACTCCAGACAGGCGGGCCCACCTAGGCTGGGTCAAGGAAGGAGGGATGCCGCCATAGCCCACGGCGCACACTCCCCAACCAGACCAGTGCATGCCATGCTGCCTCCATGACCTCTGTGCCTAAGCTGGACTCAGACTGGAAGTAGAGAGAGGGGCAAGTGGACCCTCACCTGGTCTCCTTCTCACTCAGGGTGACCTTCTCAGTGAGGTAGTCAAAGAGCTCCCCTCTCTTCATCCTGCGGGGACAGAGGATTTGTCACTGGATGGACCAGCAGGCTACCCCCTCCTTACCCTGTTTCCCACCTAACACTTCCAGGGGTAAAGTGGCCCACTCCCCACGAAGGACCACAATCTGCAGGGAGGAGGTGGGGAGGTGAGTGGAGAGGCTGTCTGGGAAGTTTGGAGGAAGAACAAGGGACACTGGAGGGGTGGGGTGGCACCATAGTGAGGGTCCCCCATGTGTGGGAGTGATAGCATGGACTGGAACCCATCAAAGCCAAAATCAGGCTTAGGGGAGGAGAGAGGGACTCTGAGTCACTGGCCCAAGGTCCCAGACCCAGATTAGAAGGACCAGAGTGTCCTGACTTTTTCCAGGAACAAATGGAAGCAGCAGCAGTACAAGTGATGGAGCAGCGGTTTTGCCTGTTTTGGGATTTCTTAGGATTAAGAAGTGTGGTTCCATCTTCCCACTTGGGAGGATCTAGAAGGAGGTCTCTGCTGGAATAATCTAGTTATACCCTGGAGGGCAACTTGAGGCAGCATTAAAAATAACTTCCCAAGCAACTTCTTCAAAGGTTAGAGACATTTGAGCTGCCCCCAAGGGCTCTACAGAACTGAGCCACTGAGCAGATTTGAGACAGCTGCAGCTGGGCAAGGCTGGGAAAGTCTCCCTTGGTTGAATAAAAAAGGTGCATCCTGCCCACCCCTCCAGGGAAAGCAGGGTCCAAGAGATTTTAGCCAGTATCAGAGGGAGACAAGAAAATCCTTGAACTTAGCTGGTGCAGCAGGGAGGGGAGTTCTCTTTGAGGAGCAGCCCAGAAATTACAGATATAACCCTTGTTTCAGACATTATCGGTATCATGTTCCTAAAAAGCAATGTGTGTCTCCGGTTTTGATCACTTCAATTCCATTTAAAACACACTAGGAGAATTCACTAATGGCAGCAGCAGCAGCAAAAAAATATACCAGTAAACACTGGGACACTGCAAGGTCCATCAGCAGGCTCCTGCCTTCCTAGAGCTGGCAGTTTAATTGTACACGAAGACAACAGAATTTTCTCAGTTAGGCCCCAGGCCTGGGTACTTACAGATCAAACACCAAGAAGAAGAAGGTGTTGGTCTCATAGGTGTCCTTCAGCTGTACTGAAATGGAAACAGCTTGTCTCAGGAGCGGAGGAGCCCAGGCGGGGCAGTGGAGGCGCAGGGGAGAGGGGATTAAAGGTGCTGTGGGCTGACTCAGAAGGTGGAGGGGGTATCAGGTTTCAAAGGAAGCCTCCCCCTCCCCCCGGGAAAGGGGGCAGCAGGGACTTTGAACTCCCTATTCCCCCACCCGCACCCCTGCCTGTCATCCCTTCTGTGGGACTGGAAGAGGAGGCTTGGAGCTGAATCCTGGGGGCAGGAAGGTGGAGCTGGGAGTCCCAAGCCTCCAGGCACTGCATCAGCGGGGCCCTGGGTTGCAGGAGACAGTCTGGGTGTTTCTGACTAGCTGCACTGGGGCCACACTCCCCGACCTGGGTTATCAGCGTGGAACCGTGGCAGAGTACCCTGCCGTGGCTCGGGGCCAGCACTCACTGATGTTGGGGTGTCCCGAGACCTTGCGCAGGATGTCCACCTCCTTCTGCGTGGCCTCTCGCAGCTCCTGCACCTCCTCAGAGCTGAAGCTGCCCCCGCCAGTGATGTCGATGATCTTCACAGCGTACTCCTGGCACGTGGGCTTGTGGATGCAGCGCCTGACGACGCTGCTCACTCCCCTGGGGGTGCAGAGGACAGATGGTCCCGGGGGCCCCTCACCCCGGGGGAGGCCCACATTCAGGCCACAGCAGAGAGGTCCTGCCTTGTCCCCCAACTCCCTGTGAGCTTTGGGGCAGCAGTCCCCAACTTTGGGGCCCATTTTTGGCACCAGGGGCCAGTTTCATGAAAGACAGTTTTTCCACGGACCCGTGGGATAAGGGATGGTTCTGGGATGATTCAAGCGCATTACATTTATTGTGCATTTTATTTCTATTAGTATTGTATTAGCTCCACCTCAGAGCATCAGGCATTAGATCCCGGAGGTTAGGAACCCCTGCTTTGGGGGACGGAAGGTTGAATAAGGCACAGGGGGTGGGGGTGATTTGCCTGGAGCCAAAAAGGAAGAAGTCTGCTTTCAGGCCTCCTGGTTCCTGGTTCAGTGCTCTTTCTCAGCCCAGAGGAAGAAACGGTACACTCACTCCTAGGACCGCAAGCTTCATTCTGACACCTGATCCCTGACCCTGAGCCAAGGCTGGGTTTGGATGTGCTGTCAACAGCTCTGGGGTTGGAGGGGGTGGGGCTCCCTTTGCTGGGAGGGTCTCAGATCTGGGTGCCCTTATACCTGCTTCCTCCATCCAAAACCCCAAACTGAAGTTTTCTCCAAGTGGACAGTGCTTTGGAGATGAAGACAGTCAGGGCTCAGAGTCAAGAAGAGATTGTTCCTGCCTGCAGAG